GTCCGCCGATATGTTGATAATGAGAGCAAGAAAAAATAAGAAACGTCGCGCTGCCACGAATTTTTGCCGCGGCTAAACCACGCTTGGGTCAATAACTCTCTTATATGACGGGGAGAAAACTCTAGAACTATATTCATCTTATGGGAAATTTTCTGCTCTTTTCATCGGTATATAACACATCTCAATCACACGTTTGCACAATCGTTTATCAGCCCAGCAACAAACTTTTCCCTTGTATTTCCGTCTACTTTTCGGGCCAATATTTTGGTTATCTAGAAAGATAGCGAAAAACTAAGAACACGTTTGGAAAGCTTGGTCTTTTCTCTATCTTAAACCAAGTTTTCGTCCGCCGATATGTTGATGATAAGAGCAAGAAAAAATAAGAAACGTCGCGCTGTATTTAATTTACCTCAAAATTACCAAACTTCACGGCCTTGTGCAGCCGTTGCCAGATGTCAGATTCAATAAATGGTTTATATATTCGGAAAGAGCTGACCTTGGACTATCTTATTCCGAGTTTTCGTCTGCCAATTTCTATCAGTGTCTGTAAGAAAAACGCACCTGAAAAAGCCCCTACCGATGAAAACACGCATGTATTTCTTGCACTAATAACTTTCCTATTTGACGGGGGAAAACTCTACAACTATATTCAGCTTATGGGAAATTTTCTGCTCTTTCCAACGATGTGTGACACGCCGTGATCACACGTTTTTCTAACTATGAACTACCTATTTAGCGGTTTGGGATTCCAGTTTCATCGTAGTGTGGATAATGAAATAAAAGTAAGTTTTACGATGATGATTGTTTATTTTATTTGTTTCGGTGCGACAATTGTTTCGACCAATATGGTCTTCTTCTTAGGCACGACGTCAAAAGAGGTTAGATGTTGAGAGGGAGAATTAAAGTTGATTTAGTAATTGATTCATAAAAACGGTCGCAAAGGGGTTGTGTACATTTTAAGTGATACATTTTCTCGAATCGGAACGTTGTTTACATTAAAGTTTGTTAAATGAAATTTGAAAACGCGTTGAAAAGTGAGGTTATGGGTTTTAAACAAGGATCATCAGGAATTCAAAACTTACTTTTATTTCATTATGAACTACCTAAACCACGAATTTTTGCCGCGGCTAAACCACGCTTAGGTTAATAATTAGGTTAATAACTCTCTTGTATGACGAGGAGAAAATGAATAAGAATTGAACTGAGTTAAAAACGATCAAAACACAATTCAACAATTCGAATCTAAAATTGCTCAAATTCTTCCAGATTCTGATAAAACACATTCATGTTACACCTAGTAACATGAAATAATCTTTCCGTTTTGAACAGTTTAACATGTTTCTAAACGTAAAACTAAAACTAGAACTAACACTAGCACTATCACGCGAACTAACACTAGACCTAGAACTAGAAACTTTCGGGTTCCAACTAGTTTTCTGAAGAAGGTTACGACATGGCACCCGAAACGTCAAACATTTGTTCAAAAAACGCACGGCTCAACCCGAAAGTCTCTATAGTCGAGCCGTCGAATTTGTGCAGTGATAAATCACCGTGACAGGTAGGTAAATTTCTCACATCGAAGGTCGCGCTGTCCGGATTCGTCAAAGTAAGTGACCACACCCCTTCTGGGGGTAGCGCACTGAGCGCGTTACTGGGGACAAAAAAATAATAAAAGCCGCCGACGCACTGTGAACGGTATTCATAACTTCTTATCTGACTGTAAAGGAAGGTTTATTCTCGTATAGTGTAGCTGCGCCTTATAGACCCTGGTGGGAGTAGGCGGTTACATAACGAAGGAACCGACTACCCCTTTTTTTGTAAGTACCTGTCACGGTGATTTACCACTGCACAAATTCGACGGCTCGACTATAGGT